TGCGTTCTCTCTCTCTCTCTTTGTCTCTCTTTCTCTTTCTCCCTTTCGCCTTTCGTTCGATTGCAGACTTCCATTTGGGTCGCCGCTGTCTGCTTTCCGGAGATGGCCCGAGAACCAGTTCCATCGCCCTAGCGTAAACGCGACAGGAGACTCTGTCGCTCCCTCTTGGGGTCGTCGCATTCTCCTCAACCGAATAATTAGTTTTACCGTCTTCTTGTTTTCCTTAATCCAAATGTTGCCCGAAAACTTTCTATTTACACGAACGCATCTGGATACTTTAAACTGGCGGAATCACGGCTGAAATATTATTTTAAGATCGTTACCTTTTACATCTTGCTGTAAGTAGATCGAATTTGAACTCATTATTCAGTATAGATAACTTGCATCAGGAAACGCAACTTATAATACTTTCGGTTTATCGTGATCGTAAAGTCTTTAATATCACATTAATTTTATGTGAATAATTTATAAGTTTATCGTAAGTAATAAAAAAGCTTTTTAATCTATTAACATAAATTATGACACTATAACTTACAAATTTCTTTTCACTTTTCGCCTTTTTTATTGACTATAATTTTTTTAATTTGCTTATAAGTTTACACGGTTTGCGTGTTAAAAAAATATGATCGGATTTATTATTTTTATGTTGTTTTTAATTATTTTAATTATTATTACGATAATATTTTTGATATTTATTTGACTTTTCATGCATACACCAGCAAAAAGGATCGTTGCGAGGGGAAGGTTGTAAAGAATGTTTGCTGCTTTCTTGACTTTTTTCCGCCACGCTTAATTTTCGTCTAATTTAAATATATTTCGCTACGCATTATGCACTTTCTAAGGCTATCCGCAATCTACGCGAGCTAGGTCGGTGGCGAGCTGAAGGGCTCCATAATCATGGTGAAATAAGCCGGCGCAGCTGGCTCGCTATTGTCCCGTATTACGTAAACTTCACTACTCCCCACCTGCATTATGCACCGACTTGCGAACTCGCGCACTGCAATTCGCGGACTCGTTGCCAGAAGCTCGTGCTCGGCATTCACAAAAATGAAAGCCCTTTCAGAAGTCTTTTGAAGAGTCGTATAATGAACCGTGGGAGGAGATTGCCCGCGTTTACCTGTTTTAGGACGGTGTTTTGAGAGAAAGAACAATTTTCAGCGCAAGCGTTCTTCCCGTCTCGTTCCTCTGTCGCGTTCGCGCGCAACGAGTTCACCTCGGGGGCTCGGCTCGATACATTGCATTTCGTAATTGCGTGCGAGCGAAAGTCTCAAAGTCGATAATTAAACGCTGCCGGCGGGACTCGCTTCTCTCCAGTGGGGGAGGGGTCGGGCAGGGGTCGGGCAGGGGTCGGGCAGGGGGTTAAGAGGTGAGAGAGGAGTCAAAGGCACGTAACGTCCAGGATTTGCCGACTCCATCGTCCTATTTGCGCAATAATTTCGCGCGTGTAGCTTTTCCGCCGGCTGCATAAATGTCACGCTCGGTGGGTATGTTACGCCTTGGCTTGAGAGTTGGCAAATTGGATTAAGCGGTGTATCCGGGGCTCAAGGAACTAATGGGTACTAGGGCCACCGGCTTCCGCTGACTATAAAGTTCGCTGGGCTGGCTGGCTGGCTGGTTGGTTGGTTGGTTGGTTAGCTGGCGCCTACGCCGATGCTGCGAGGTAACAGCAGGCGGCGGTGATTTCGGCTGGTAGAGACTAGCTCATGCCGCTTTAAACTGTCACGCGTTGACAGCGGTCTACCGCCGCAGCGGGGATATCTACCAAGTTTATTATCGCCGACGCAAATCCTGGTCGCGGTACGGGCGCCGCTGCGGTTCTTTTACGCGGATCAGAAATTCTCTCGCAGCTTTAGCGGCGGATTTAACGCGCGGAGCACGGTGCGAAGCGGGGAAACAAGAGTATATCTAGTATTCCTGGAGCGAGTGTAATCCGGGAGGTAAACCTCTATTGAGAAATAAGAGATAAAGTTACGGCGGGGTATTCCGAGAGTCATTTATTGCTCAACAAGTTCTTCCGGAATCATTTTCACTTTGAGTGCGTTAAGCTGTTTATTTTCTTTCAAATGTGCGACGCGCTTGTGCTCTTGATTTCCGACATTTTCGGTTCACGATAATCGATTTAGCAGTCAAGTTGCGTGAAATAAAATGGCTTGTCAGCTGCTGTATATTTATGGATATTAATCTGTCGTATTTCTCTTTTTTATGTAATACATATTTTTCTCGACATTGTAAATCTACAGCAGGCAATAATACATTTTTGTTAGGAACTTTATGCTTACTCGATTAAACCGGATTACGTTGTTTGCAAGGGAATGGTTGGGTCAAATGATGCGCGAAATGCGGCAAGCGGGAAACGCAATATGCGCTCCGCCTGCGGAGCCTAGCGTTATGGATTTCTACGGCCGTTCGGCTTATCTTCTTTAACTTTATCGATTAGCGAGCGGTGTGCGAAATAGGTTAAGCAATGTATTAAGAGATCTCGACAGCTCGGGCGTACACATATGTAGACGATTGGATTTCCACGAATATAGCGCGCGTACGTGACGACGGTGCATTATCTCTGTGTACGTCCTGCAGCAAGGCGACAGGATTGTTCGCGGTAGGACTCTTTAATGGCACATTAGAAGCACTCAGCATACACTGGTGTAACCCCCTTCGGAGATCCAATTATTAAATTAAGTTTAATGGTTGCTAATAGCTCGGATTAAAATCTGTCTGGGATTGTCTGAGAGTTACTTCGGAGGGAGAAATAGGGCTTAAAAATACGAGCGACTACTACCGCGTGAGATGGACAAGTTTCCGGAGAACAGTTCGTCCAGTTCCTTAAAGTTCGGAACCTCACCTGGCCGGTAATTCGCAGACTGAAGCTTGGATGCCGGAGTTTCGTCGAAATCATTCATTGGAAGACGGTCGCGTGGGAGGAAGGGAGGGGGGGGGGCACAGTGACCGTTTGCTACGAATGAATAAAGTTTCCAAACAAATTTCGCCGGGCGAGAGGACGTCGTTTGCAGTTCGGGATTCGCGGTAAACTACCCGCGAAGGAACGCACTGCCGCCATCAAACTCGACTTAGTCTCCTTAACCGGGTGGAGGAAAAGGGCTGGGAGGGGTGGCGGGGACCTTAGGACGTTAGGAGAGGCGCCGCCGCGAGTTTGTGAGGTGCGCGCGGAAAGGAACTGGCGAAAAACTTGGAGTCGTCGCTAAATGCCGTAACTATTCTGCTTAAACGCGGCAAATGCCCTTCGTGACGGGCATTAGCCGTTCCCGTTCTGTCTGCGGGGACGGCTAACAAAATTGGATTCCGCCCACAGAGCGGTGTTACAACGTCTCGTATGAATAAATTCATTCACTTTGGTCCCACCATCCTTCCCCCCCCTTCAGCTCTCGCTGCCTCCTCGTCGCTCCTACTCCCCCTTGTTCTCTATGATCTTCCCTTTATCCTTATGCCTCTTTAGCATTCATGCCGGAATGAGCCTGTT